CGCCCTCCTCGAGGCGCCTCCAGCCCCATGCGGGCCGCCGCGGGCAGAGCCCCGGCCTCCGCCTCGCTCAGGCTCCCCCGGCACGGGCAGCGCCTCATGCCGGTGTCTTCGGTTGGGGCTTCGGCCGACCGGGCCCCTCCTACTCCTTTAAATCCCGCGAGGGGTGTGGCTGGCGAGCCCAGACTCTCGGGTTCCGGCCCGTGGGGCTCCAGCCCGCCCCGCCACGCAAGGGTTAATAGAGACTCCCTCCCGAGGGAAAGCCCCGAAGACCCGCCCCGGACGTGACGCGTGCCCGGGCGGGGCCTCGCCGGACTCCGCCCATCTCTGCCGGAGGGGCTTGCCTCCGAGTGCCCCAAACTCGTGCAGGCTGGGTCTGGGCGCTGAGGTTCCGCGCGGCGCGCCAGTGGGGCCCCTCCCTACGCCCCCTGTGACTAATCCAATCTCCCCACATCCTCGAGTGACCAATTCAGCCTCCCTAGAAACCCGGGTGACGAGTCCAGCCGCGTGCCCGTGCTTCACGCTGGGGCCGGACGGGCTCTCAAAGACTTGGAGATCCCATAGATGTGTGTTCGGGACCGGCCTCTACCACTTCCCAGCTGCGTTACCTGGAGCGAGTGACTTACGTTCCACTGAATTTTCCGTGGAAAATCTCTCTCACGTATAGAGCATTTGCTCTGTCCCAGGACACTGTTTCACCGTTTGATTCTCTCACTAATTGCTCTCACTCATGCTGAGCAATAAAGGATGCCATGGCCCCGTTTTACACATGAGGATCCTGAGGCTCAGAGGTATGCCAGCTTCCACCCTTTGTTTTTAGCCACGGTGCTATTGGTGTGACCTCATGTATGTGAAGTATATGGCACCAGGCTTGGCACTGTCATCCATACCCCTTTAGGGTTATTGTCACAGGTGCTTTTTATATATTTTGTCCCCAAGAGTGAGCTGCCACCCAGCTCCTGAGTCAGACCTTCAGTCTGGAGGGGAGAAGGGGGTGGTTTCTGTTTTGAAATTGAGTCACCTGGGGGAGAGACATTGGGCACAGGTCCAAGGATCTAAAATGAGTCATCTCTTCAAAGACCAATGAGAAATCAGAGGCGGGGGCCCACCTGGCACACAAAGCAGGTTGGAAAGTAGCGGTCCAAAGAGGGATGAGGGCTCTTCTGAGGTCACACAGTACAGAGATAGAGACAGGGAGACCTGATTCTCGATAGAGGCAGCAGGATTCCTGCGGGGGATGGAGGACTCGTCTGCATCCCTTCCTCTCCCAGTAGTAGGAGAGAGCCCCAATCAGCAGCTGCTTCTATTCCAGACTGTGAGAAGTGGGTGAGTCAGCCTGTTGTGGAGGGAGCAGGCAGGCTTTAAGCCTGCCCCCACTTCCAATACACACACACACACACACACACACACACGGACACACGGGCTGGGAGCACAGTTTCGGGCATGCCAAGGTTCCTGAGTCAGCACTGGGAATCGCGGCTGAGTGTGTTCTGGGAAATGTCAGGCCAACAGGAAACAGAGGGCTCCCACTCGCGCCATCCCTCAGGTGGGCGGGGGCGGAGAGAGCAGGGTGTGCGAGGGAACAGAGGCTCAGTGTGCAAATCGGGAGCTTATGTACACGAGAGTGTCGAAGGTGTGAGCGGGAGACAGTTGGTGAACAAGGCAAGGGGTTTATATGCTCAAGGAAGGAGGTTGGGTGCCAGGATGTCGGTGTTTGTGCAAAGTGGAGGGGCTCCATGTGCAAGGGAAATGGTTGCTGGGAAGAATGATCAGAGGAGATGTATTGAGCCTGCCAGGGGTAAAAATAAGACGGGAGGTTGGCAATCTGTTTGTGCAGGGAGAGGTGTGAAGTTTGTAAGGGAAAGTGATGTTCGCAAGAAAGACAGGGTAAGGAACAGAAAGGTCTACAGCGTTCAGGCACTGTGAGGTGAGTGGAAGGGCATACAGGGCTCGCGTGCGCTTCTGCGGTGCCCCAGAAATTCCCAGCAGACGCCGACCCCAGTGTCCAGCTCCAGCACCACGACCCTGCTCCTGGCCCCGCCCCTCTACAGCGCACCGTGGGGCCCTGCTTCGTGCCAGTCAGCGCGCCGCTGCTTCGCCATTGGCTAGCTGACAGGAGGGGGCGGGCACACAGAGGCTCCCGGAAGCACAGGAGCCCCCATGCTTTGCGAACTCAGAGCTTGAAAGCCGTGGGTGCTAAGCAACGGGGGGAGGTGCCCAGTAACGG